TACTTACACAATAAAATCGGAAGAAATTTGTGTTTTGTCTTTAATTTGCGTTTTCATTTCTGGAGTATTTTTGAAGAATTAAAAAAACCTAGCAAAAACTAATGCATTGGAAGTTTTAAAAACATGCTTCAATGAGAGGTGTAAAAGAAAGGTGAAAGTAAAACTCATAGTGCATTTTTACCATTCGAACGTTAATAAAGGGAGGTAAAAAAGGGGTAAAAAATGAACCACCCACTTTTTTCCCTGAAATACGTTTTGAAGTACAGATGTACAAATCAAACAAAATCTTGGTCTGTCTGCCTGTCTGTAGTTTCATTTCCGGCTAAACAGCTGAACCGATTGAAACCAAATTTGGCACACATATTCTTAGGCATAAAAGGAAGAACTTTTGGGCTAAATCGCGCATCTCCAAGTGTCTCAAAATAAGAAAAAAAACTGTTAATTTTTGACGTTTTTCCATATTATGGCTAAATTATTGCATCGAACTCAACAAAAATTTGGTACATATGTTATATACGAGGGTTGTCCAGAAAGTAGCAGACGTTTTGAAATAAAAAATTTTAAACTTGTAAAGTAAATCTCTTTATATACATTTGGGAGCTACACTCTTGGACTATCCCTATCGAACCGCTGCGTTGCGAGCCAGAGATCTTCATCGCTGGGAAGAGGTGGAAGTTTTGTTGTTCGACCAAAACGCCCGCCCGTACAAAGTCAACCGTACTGGACAGCTCTTGGATGATTTTGAATGGGAGAAAGGATCACCCTCCATACAGCTCGGATCTAGCGCCAAGCGACTTCCACCTCTTCCCAGAGATGAAGATCTCGCTCACAACACAGCACATGGACATCAGTGATGCCGAACTTCAAGCCGGCGATAACCAGTGGTTAAAGTCTCAGAGGCGGCGCATGTATACAAAGTTGAAATCAAAACACTTGTACCACGCTATGATAAGTGTCTCAATATGAATGGCGACTATGTTGAAAAATAGCCTAAGAGTGTAGCTTACAGTTCCAGATTTATTATAATAAAAGTTGTTTCTTACATTTTCTTAATTTTTTTATTTCAAAACATTCTGGATAGCTCTCGTATATATATGTAGATAGGTACTTTTGTAGGACAATTATAGCGACCCCAAGATATGATTATCTGTGCTAGCTACTGCAATTTTGTTTTATTTGTCCTTACGCCGCCATATTGAAACCTGATTTCGCGGACCTGGCTCTGCCTGTCGTTTCCCAGACCTGATGTAATAATCGACATCGAGGAGTTTTTAGCGCATTTTTGGAAAAAATACGCTATTATATTCGTTATGGCTGGCTGACCGGCTGAGATCTCAGAAATTACATTTGCTAGAGACTTTTTCACTAAAAGCTTTCTGATGTTAGTGTAGATGTGCAGGCTCTAGTCTATTTTGAGTTACTCGTGAGATCGATAATTTTAAACTTTGCCTCGAACTTTGCTAATGATCTGCATCACCAAAAATGCGCTTTTCATCATGCATATGCTGATTTACAACTTGTTTAATTGCCAATTGCTAAACATTTTGATTTTTCTTTTTAAGTGTCCCATGAGGACCAAAACTAGATCAGAGGCGACCCATTTATTGGTGAAGGGGGGCTGAGGATAAGAAAGTAGAGCTTTAATAATTGACTTGCTTTTATTGGGGTTTTTATAGTTCATTATCGTAATAAATTAGAGCTCTCGGGTGGTTCAAACTTCAAAACGAAATTCCACAAAAAACCTCCCACGAGACAGCTTTAGATTTGATGGGGGTGCATTTTCTATCAATTTATTACTACACACTGCACTAATCTAAAAAGGCGACAACACGGAATTTGCAAACTTAAAATCCATAATTTCAAACAGATCCAAGATTGGGCTACTAGTTCAAAAGTTACAGCCCTTTTAAATTTTCTTTCGAAATTGGTTTCTACTCCATAACTTGATTGAGAAGTCTGATCGAAAAAGTACGAATTGTTTTGGATTATACGCACCAAAATTAATAAGAAAAAGTGTTTTCCCGAGAAATTTTGGTGCAGTCGATTTTTGGTAAAAAAGGAAGGTTATCCACTGCCTTTTTTTGAGGGCCGCAAAAAAAATTGTCCCAGATCGACCCGGAAAAAAATTTTCTTATAGAATGTGGCCTGTAGAATCCATAACTTCAAACAGTTCCAAGATTGGGCTACTAGTTCAAAAGTTACAGCCCTTTGAATTTTCTTTCGAAATTGGTTTCTAGTCTATAACTTTTGATAGAGAAGTCTGATCGAAAAAGTACGAATTGTTTTGGATTCTACGCACCAAAATTAATAAGAAAAAGTGTTTTCCCGAGAAATTTTGGTGCAGTCGATTTTTGGTAAAAAAGGAAGGTTATACACTGCCTTTTTTTGAGGCCCTCAAAAAAAATTGTCCCAGATCGACCCGGAAAAAAATTTTTCTTATAGAATGTGGCCTGTAGAATCCATAATTTCAAACAGTTCCAAGATTGGGCTACTAGTTCAAAAGTTACAGCCCTTTGAAATTTATTTCGAAATTGGTTTCTAGTCTATAACTTTTGATTGAGAAGTCTGATCGAAAAAGTACGAATTGTTTTGAATTCTACGCACCAAAATTAATAAGAAAAAGTGTTTTCCCGAGAAATTTTGGAAAATCAAAGTATTCAAATACTTACCTTGCGAAGTATTCGAATACTAAATATTTCTGAAAGTATTTGAGCCTGTATTTGAGTTACAAATACAAATACTGCTTCCATAAAAGTATTTAATTACAAAGTATTTGAATACTAAAAAGTATTTATAAAATCGAATAGGTACTGGCCAGCTGATTTGATCCAATGGTGGATGAAGTTACTCTGCTTGAGGGGAATTCAGAATATGCTCATGTTAGATTTCCTGATGGAAAAGATGCAACTGTTTCTACTAGACATTTGGCCCCTACAGGAATTACACCTGAAGAAACTTCAATCTCAGAAGCAGAACACTCTTTAGATGATATTACTGAACCTACTAATCCTCAGATAAGTGAAGAATTGAAGGCAGTTACTGATCCAAATTTGCACGAATCATGAAATCAAGATCCTAATTTAAGACGGAGTTTTCCTGTTTCTACTAGACATTTGGCCCCTACAGGAATTACACCTGAAGAAACTTCAATCTCAGAAGCAGAACACTCTTTAGATGATATTACTGAACCTACTAATCCTCAGATAAGTGAAGAATTGAAGGCAGTTACTGATCCAAATTTGCACGAATCATGAAATCAAGATCCTAATTTAAGACGGAGTTTTCCACATTGACGACCTCCATCCTATTTTAAGGACTATGTGAGCTGTTAGGGGGGAAGAATGTAATAGATTTAATTAGTAACAATATTGTTGACTTTACAATTGTTTTATGTCAATTCAAGGTATTATATTGTTTCTTTCCTTCTCTAAGAAGAATTATCTTCAATTTAGTTTAATAAAGCCTAGATAAAGGTATTTAGTACAACAATTTTTATCATTTGAAAAGGCATAGGAAATCCCTATGTCTACTTCTATATGAATATCACTGTAGATCTTAGATCATACATAATATATTATATGATCTCCAAGATATAGATCTATTCATTTACCTACACTTCGAATGACTATTGTAAACTTTCGTCTGTAAAATGGAGACTTTTCGATTAAATACTGGTGCACCTCCCATCCACTGACACTATAACGACAGAAGGGTGCTATGAAACATGATTTAAGAAATAGACAAATATCCCATGAACTAATACACAACATCGATGTAGGTAGACGCCAAAAATAGACATAAACCGTTAAAACATTACTTTAAAAAATAAACCAAGGAACCAAGACAAGAAGATAAAATATTGGATTCGGACACTTCGCCGCCACCAACTCGGCCTCGCCGTCTCGGCGCGGCTCTTTGTGAAGAAAACTCTTAAAACAACTACTTTTTGCAGAGACTTCTTTATAAATACATCCAATCACATGCCTTAACAACACTGTTAGCCGACAACATAGTTAAATATGACTTTATAATACCAGCTTTTAGTAACAAAAAAATTTCAGAGGATCACGGATAACCCCCAACTCACTCATAATGACGTTCCCCATGTCCAGAAAAATCGTTCAAGTAGCCCCCCCCCCCCCACCCCCAGAACTGCTCTCGGCCTACATCTGTCTAAGCCCGATGGGAGTACTGGCAAAATAAAACGCTGCCAAATTATCATGGCTTGGGTACTACACACCTCGTGCAAACCAGAAGGATTTGATCACCATCGTGAGATCTGGTCAACTCTTAACCATATCAGGGAAAACTGCGGGAGATCCACCACCCCTGCAGCCTATAACAAATGGGGAAGCTTCCTTTAGCTCCTTCAAATACTTTCAATGCTATTTTGATTTTAACTTTGGAAAATGATAGATTTGTTAGATACTGCGGATAATTAAATTTTCCTCAGCCTCCCTGTTGTCAGAAAAGCCGGAAGCAGACAGTACCACTATTAAATAAATATTTTGTTATATACAGCACCTGCACGTCGATTATCCTGTTGGTAACATAATTAAATATTGGCCTATGTGGCAATTGATGAACATTATTGAAGTGATCTCCAAACTTGCAAAAATTAATTTGAAATAGTTTATTAAATACAGGAGTAAAGAATGTATTATAATAAATTCAAAAATTTAAGGCACATATACTCGAATTTACCAAAAATAACAGTTATACTTACTTTTCTTATATAAAATTATCAAATGTTTTCTTATTAACACTTAGCTAAGTGCTTCACAATGCAAACATAAATTTCCAAAAATTCTGGAAAATTTTGAAAAGAAAATTAGATTTGAGACTTCTATCATATAAATTCATTTAAACTTTTTCATTATTATAGTATAAATAACGAAAAGAAAAAGAAAACAAATTTTAAAATTATTTCATATACACAAAGAAATATAAATATTTTAAATAAATTTTAACAATAAGTGATTTCAACAAAAACATACATATAGCTTATTAAAAATTAATTTGTTTATGGAATGAACAATATAAACGTTTAACATACAATGCACACATTTGTAAAGAGAACAACATATAAAGATACACACTAGTTAAACAAAGACTGAAAACAAAAAATCATAACTGAAATACAAGGCGTCTGTGCTTACTAATTTATATTTTTTGTCACTTTATCTGTGTTTATATATACTTAATATTTACATAGATGTACAGCTACTTCATTTATAATCACTTATAAATACTTCCATTAAAGAATGAGATTGATTCTCATTTTTGGGAGATTCAGATTTCTAAAACAATTAAATGAGTAATCAAAAGGCAATTATTGTTACAGGTATCGACTTTCTACACTAAAGACAGAGATAGAGCATGTACCACAAGTTGCCTATTGGTTGTAGAGGTAAACTGTTGTCACTTTTTCTCGTCTTTAGTGTATAGTCGATGGCAAAAGTAATTCTTTCACACAATACTCACCCAATTAGCGCCTATTGGTAAAGCCTCATCGTCAGAATGATAACATTTCTCGTGTTCATCATTCTGCGAGAACCTATGCACCGCCGCTAACGTACCGTAACCCCTATCACCCTTATAAAAACCGCCTCGCTCGTCCAACTCTATGTGAACGTCATTTTCGGATATCCCTGTTACTCGATGTGGGCTTAATACAGGCGACGGATTATCACAGCTCGTTGTAATATCAACATTTCCGGATGAATTTATATAAATGCTCGTTGTGTATATCGGTTTTTTAGGTTCGGCGGCGACGTTCCTTTCTGTTTCGGTCGCCTTATTTTCGCACGATTTTCTACATATCGAATTGTCGGTCTGAGAGCCGCGCAAGGCGACCGATTCTTGACTGTTTCGGTAATTTTTCGCGTTCACTTGAAGGGAAGTGTCGTTCGTTTCGGCCTTTGCCTTTGTATCTTCATTGACCGTATCGATTTTTGGATCCATTTTCGAGATTTTCGGCGCTGTGTAGGTAAATTTGGGCATTCGCGAAATCCAGTGGTCGCCCATTGAACCGATCGAGCTCGTACTGGCGGCGCTGCTCGAATTTGAGCTGGAGCTGACGTATACGCCACTGCGCTTTTGATAGAAGAGAATGTAGGCGCTGTTGTTGACGAGTACAGAGCTGATGTCGTTGGTCTGTTGGCTCAAGTTCGTTACTTTCGTGTCGTCGTACAAGTACCATTGGTTATCGTAGGGATTTTTGCAAGCTGCCGTGTAATGTCCCGTCTCTATATCAGTCCCGTGGTGGTAGCAGACGCCGTACAAATCGTACGTGTTATCCAAAACTTGCGACTGTTTGCGTTGTCGTTTCCACGGTGACCAGCCCACCCCACCCAAAATTACGGTGTTTTGATTTTCGGTTAGGTCGTTACCCATATTCCCGTTTTTCTTATTTGCCAGGTGGGGGGACATGTCGAATCCGAAAACGGGAAAGTCCACCATTGTTGTTAGCTTCGTGCTGTGGCGACCTTTTAACGTTTGCCTGAAATGTGGGCCTTGATTTATTGCATTTGGAGATATTTGCAATGCTTACTGTCTGAAACGTTTAAAGTGGACGACTAGAATGTCGGGCAGCGACCAGACGTCCAATGTTTTTATGACGGGAAGGTACTGCTGGCACTGTGGACATCTCCAAGCATCGTCCAATGTTAGTGTTTCTGCTTTGGTGTAATGGCGTAGGCACTCTTCTAAAGTTAATGGAACACCTCCTTGTGCATTAAAAAATCATGTTAACATAGCAGTTATAGGAGACAATAAAAACATAAAAATGATAATAAACATTAAGGTAGATACAGGCCGCGCGCTATAGCAGACATCGGCAATTACGGGGAAAACTTGTACCATGCTGGTTTTCATGACTACGCCACTGGAAGCATTCAAGTAAACTGCGCACACGTTCACTGCGCATCTAAAGCTCTCACCATGCTATGACGTACGGCCTCTACTATCATTGTCTTTAAAAGGTTACAGTAGTGCCACATTTTGCGCTTTCCATGAGAACTTACAACTTTATCTGCTACAAATTTTCCAATTAGGAGCTCCAGTTAGTATTCTTCCCAATACAAAGAGACCACAGCGCCCTACCAGAGCCAGAGTTTATTTTTCGCCCAATGGCCTGATACAATACCTTCTCTGTATCAGTATCACAAAGGGGATATGTAAGGCTGTAGCTGAAAGATGGTAGAGGGCAGAGCAGGCACTTGGTCGTCTGCTCAGCCTATTTCCTGTACGACTCGGAAGAGGATCCACCAATCAAGGAGCTGGCCGAGTAGATCTGACGTTGGCCTCCTTTTCAATAGCTCACATGATCAGGAATGGGACTGCTATATGAGGAAACTGTCGAGAGCAGTTAGATGGACCACCTATGCTTTGTCGGAGAACAGGGCAGGTGGGCGAGGCGGCCGCATTAGTAAGCGACGCCATAACAAAGTCCTATGAAACGTTTCGAGGAACGAAGAAAACACCTTGGTGGAACTCCGACCTTGAAAAGGTTCCTAAGGAGGTTCGTAGGCTCTTTAATAGGGCCATTCGAAGTGAGAGGATCTCAAGATCGCCCAGCACAGGTATAAGGGCCATATTCGAATGTCTAAACGAGGACCTTCTGTAGTAACATAAAGGGTCTTCCTGATGTTCAAAAACGTCTACTGCGGCGGGAGGCTCCTCACATGTCTACTGGAAATACTCTTTTCAGGCTCTGGGAACTACATAACTTCGAACCCACCAAAAGGAGCTACTCGGGTCGGTGTAAGGGCGATCGAGTGGAAGGTAGCTGATTGGGTGATTACCGAGGGATCTTTTGAGATGGGATATTCCAGGTACTTATGCAGAAGGGCCTCGATCTGCTGCTCTTACATTTGTTGCACCTCTTTAGAACCTCCATGGCTTTAGAGTATATTCCCGAAAGCTGGAGAAAGGTCAGAGTTGTGTACCTACCTAAGCCCATCAGCCTAGCATCTCTCTTCTAAAACCGGTGGCTGACGGAGGGGGGGGGGGGTCAATCGTAAGATGGATGCGAGCCATGCTCAGAAGCAAACTCATTTAATCCTCAATCGGGACAACAGAGATGAGCGGTTACTACAGGGTGACCACAGGGTGGGGTATTGTCTCCACTGCTGCGTTGCCTGGTACTAGACGGGCTCCTCCCAACTCTGAACTTGGAAAAGACCTAGGTCGTTCCATTTACGAATAGAAGGAGAGCGGATCTTGATGGGCTCACTCTTCGAGGACATCAAACAAGTATGAACAGATGAAATATTGGGGAGTCATCATCTGATCTGGAAAGGGCTGAGTGAATAGGCAAAAAAGTCACTGTCCATGGACATGTAGAAGGGCTTTTGGTTGTACATGGGGCTTGCCATGTGCAGGGCAATGGAGCCCAGAAAACCACGCCCTTAGATTCGATCCCGTCCTCGCGAGAAGGGATGCGATACGAGCTGTCTTACTAAGATCAAAGAGTTATAAAGTCATTCTCCCAAAGAGGGAAGAGTGGCTGAACTTGGATTACCCATTCCTCAAACCTGAGGACCGAGATGTTAGCCATCATGACCTTTGCACAGAAGAACCTCCGCAGAGGTTACGGTAATCACCATGTATCGTGTGTCCCAGACAGAATGCACCATAGGGAAATAGAATTAATCTATTGTAAAGGATCCAGGAGCCCTTTGATATGTATTTGAAGTTAGCGTTCCACGTACGTTATTGCTCTTGCCTGATGCTAGAAAAAGATTGGAGTAGTAACGGGCGATCAAAAATGACTTGCTGTCGAGTCGCCTTTGGAAGTTCAGGTTAAGTACGATTTCCTATGTAAACAAAAATTCCAAGGGCGACTCGACAGCAACTCATTTTTGATCGCATGGTACATTAAACGCTAATTTCAAAGGCCTTGTGGATCCTTAAAAAAAATACATTGCCGTTTCTCTATGGTGCGTTATACTTAGGACAGACTGTATACATATGCAGTGACAGTCAGGCGGCGCTGAAGGTCCTGTCAGCAGACAGGTTCCAATCGGCTACTGCACTTGATTGCAGGGCAACTCTGGATAGATTAGGTGAGTCTAATGGGGTAAGCTTAATCAGGGCGCCAGCGCACTGCGGAATAGGGGGCAACAATAGGGCGGACTAGCTGGCTTGTGAAGGCAGTGGTGGGGTCTTCGTTGGTCCCAAGCCTACCCTAGGAATTGCTCCGTCTACTGTTAGGGCTAGGATTAGAGACTGGATGACCAATCAATTCCAAGGACTTTTTAACAGGGTCCCTTGGGTCTTCTAAGCTTCTAAAACGGAATAGAAGCCAGATTAGGAAGATCACTGGTGTCCTTAAGGGGCACTAGATGGTCAACTATCACCTGAATAATATTGGGCTTGTCGAAGAGTCCACGTGCAGGTTCTGTGGTGAGGTAGATGAAACTACCAAGCATGTGGTCTGTCATTGTGACGCCTTGATCAGAAACAGACATTAACTCCATGAAGACAGCTACCTGGAACCAGGGAGGGTGAAGCAAATAGGGTCCTATCCTTTATTGAAAGGACCGGGCACGGAACTTAGTTGCAAAAGAAAGGGGGTGGGCAGAATGGGCCATTGGTGTGCCTAAGTGCTGCCCGGTCGGGCTCCCAAGTGAATAGAATGAAGCATTTTTAGTTCTTTAAGCCGGATCGGTTTGTGGATTGTATCATTGTCACTATTAGTTGTAAACTGTGATTGACTGATCATGACCCAACAAGGTGATGACATGGATCGTGTGACGTAGACTAAGAAAAAAAGCTGGTCAGGTATGATGAATGGATGTATCCAAGTGACCAGACGAGGTCAAGTGGAGTATACAAACTCTTTGGACATCATGACGACAGTGGCCGATCAAAGCAATAGTGTTAGCAATACAGTGCGTGTACAGAATACAACAAGTTGCATGTGGATTATCTGACCTTGACGAGAAGAGGTTGTGAGTCTTATGTGTACAAGTTGGAGGATGTGTTCATGTGCAATTGCTCATTGTTAAAACGAGGGTTGCTCCTATGACGCCAGTGACATTACCACGCTTGGAGCTTCAAGGACCCATAAAGGAGAGTCGTTTTACCATAACGATTAAGAAGCAAGTGGAGTTCAAATTTAACTCTATGCATTTCTGGACCGATTCATGAACTATACTTAGTTGGCTCAGGTTGGAGACAAGCTGATACAAAGCATTTGTGGCTAATCTTCCAAGGATTGGCACTGGGTTCCGACTTTCGAGAATGTAGCTGATGATGGAACGCGGGATGAGATGCCAAGTGATGTTAGTTATGAATCTTTATGGCTGGAGGGCCCAGAATTTGTGTATCGTGGAGAGCCCATAGGAACCTATGGTTAAGAAGATCATTCCTAACTCAGAGCTAGAGATAAAAAAGGAATTGGTCATGATGGTTATGGAGAGTTTCTCGATTCCATCTGACCTCAGAAAGTTCTCAAAGCAAATTAAGTGCTTGGGGGCCATGGCGTTGATTATGAAATATAGAAAGAGACGCAGGATGAAAGAAATTCTTTGGGTACTGGGGGCGCGTGGTCATATGTGAGAACTTTGTGGAAGAGATGTGTGGTATGTCAAAGGAGAGCTCATACACCTGAAATGGGTGGAGCATGTGAGTGTGAGTTGATTATTTTTAACCATTGTATGTAACTGTGGGAAGGTGAAAGGACAAACGCTGTGATGTCTTGTTTACATGCCTTTCCCATTGTGCTATTCATTTGGAGATGGCTAACAGTCTGGACCCTGAGTCAGCACTCGCCGTTTAGACGATTCACAGCAAGAGTAGGTTATGAGTGACAACGGAACAAACTTCAAGGAAGTTTCAGAGTAACTCAAGAAAGCTCTGCATGAGGGAAGGTATGTCGGTGTTATCTAGTGAAAAAACTATTATTTATGGAATAGTAGAAACAAATTTAGATAAAAACTCACATTTATTCTTGGTTGTTGAGTTAATCTTCAATCGTTTTGGGTCAGGTGATCCAACGAACGGACTCTATTTATTTCAAATCCGTGGGAACAGTGTAGCAGACTACGGACGCGAACAGAGTCATTCCCATAAGGAAAATAAATAAAAAGCGAAGAGTAAACAGACACTTTTTAAAATTGATGATTAATGAGCAATGAATGTGATTGGGAACATAGTGCCTATGCTGTGTGACACTACTGTTCTTTTAAATAGATAACAATTATACACACAAGGTGTTTAAACACTCACTATATTACCTTGTAAAGCTTGGGCTTTCAGTTGCTTAACGCTGGAGTGCTCCTCGATGACGTCGCTATCGTCGGCGATAATCGTATTTTTATTCTCGGGAGTCCACTCCAGCATAAATTTAACGTGCGGAGGACCCCCCTCTTCGCTGCACAGGGCGAGAGCTTGGTCGATATCCTCCATAAATAAAGGATGCTGTAGCTTGGGATCGAGATAGCACGGAGGTTCGTTATCGTCACAGGCGGGATCCGAGATGCGTATTTTGAATACCTGCAGGTAACAAGTTCGCAAAGTGACGTTAGGCTAAATCCGTAAACTTACACCGGGAGGCTGCTCGGACGTGAGAATATCGTCGTGTAAAATCACCGCCATCTCTTTCAGCATTAGCTTTTGCAAATCTTCGTAGGAGGTTTCTCGTGACACTTGCATCGTGTATGGACTCCCTACAATTGTATTTTTAGTTCATTTTGCGTACACGTGTAGGCGCATTTTGAATTAACCAATTACACTAAATGTGAGAAATACAGTTACTCCTTGTGATCAGTTTGAGAATCTAAAATGGAGAATTGAAATTGTTTGTAATTGTAAAGTCCACCTTAGATGCAACTCGGTGTAACCTTGGTTTCTTGCTCACTATCAAACTAAGTTAAGGGAGGATCGTGTAGGGGTGAGGAATTAGTTTGTATAACTTTTGAATTATTGTGGTGGGTGAGAAACTAGTGACGTCATTGTTATGTATCGAAAATTCTAAATAGCAAGTAGCGACCTCTACTTCAATAGTGTAAGTTTTGTAACTAATATATAGACAAGCGTTACGTTGACACGATTCTGTTTCTTCATCCCTTAATTATGATAAAGCTCCAATTATTAATATTCAAAGATACAAACATTAGTCGTATCGATTGCCATCCATATTTGCATGTGATAGTTATCTTTGGGGGATAATTAGCTTACCTAGTAGTCATTATACAGTTTTATATTACCTTGTTTGTGTCAGGTTATTTGCCAGACCCAATATTATATTATATTAGCTTACAACAGTTATTAATTATACCAATATGTTGATATTTACGTCCAGTGTTTTGTATTATTGTTCGTTTCTGCAGGGTGAATTGCTACCCTACTGAAGTTCAACTGTCCTGGTTCAGTTTGAGCCTAAGATCTCTTTTTGTAGTGAACAAGGTGGCGCCATAAAGTGGTAAGTCAAATTGTTAGTACCCTGAGCATTATAGTTTTGTGTGGTTAAACCATGCGGTGGAGGCACCCATCGGGCGCGTCCCCGGGCGGCGGAAAGGGGGACGCTCATACCTGAATGATCGTGACTCGTGCTTTGGTGCGGGTAGAGACAATTATAAGTGGTTTGTCGAGCCACGGACCAAGTCAAAGTGTTAGCAAACGTGCACTTGTCATAGAAACGTAGCGTGACGAGGGAGACAGCGCAAAGGGGATTTCTGCCACTGCCACTTATTGGGAAACTGATTATTAATATACTCAAAACATCAAATAGACTGCTCTATGCATGCGGTAGAGTAGGACAGAGATCCCCCTTGGTACAGTGACTCAATTTAAAACAGTGGCGACAACAGGGTATCTCGATTTCGATTGGTCGTTCGTTGCGGTCGCCATATTGGAGCTAAATTCCAAACTGACTATAATTATAAATTATACTGTTTTAACAGTTCACGCTTCACCGTATTCCAGTATAATTACAGTTCAGTGGTAACAAATGGACGGTTGGTGCCTAGCTTAGTGCGACTTTTAACGAAAACTGACCATAGATCAGCTGTGGGAGTGGTTCGCTCTGTATGCACCAAGGTGATTGGTGGATGAGTCAGTTAGCTCCTTTCACACGACTATACTGTATTCATATTAAGAAGGTAGCGGTAGAACCATAGGGAAGTTTTGATTTTCACTGTGATTGGTTAAAACATGAGTCAGTATTACATTGAAACATAAAACAAACAACTGGCGAATTTTGTAAGCTGGTAGTTTATGTTGCCAACTAAACTGTCGAAGTGTCATTAGCTGTTAATGTCAAAGTTTATTTCTGTTCGCAGTGCTGGATATTTCTACTTTACAAAAATTTGGTGCCGTTTTATATTTTTATTTCCTTGTTTTAAACGATCAATTTCAAGAATGGCTTTCAGCTTTAGCGATGCAGAAACAGCACGATAGTATAAATATAATGCCGAAAACCGGAAAGTTCTACGATATTTCCTTGCCGACATCTCTATTTATTTATAAAAGGCGCCCGAACAGTCGTCGGCGAAACAATAAAATCCTTTTAATAATCAAAAATGCGCCAACTTTAACAATCACCACAAAGTAACAAGAGAAAATAAAACATCTGCCAAAAGGAACAAAGAAACAAAATCTTGATTAAAGAAAAAAAACCAGAGCATATGCAACGATTTATTTTCTTCATTACAAACATTATTAGTGTTCACGGTATATTTTGTTGAAAGATCCTCGTAACTTTTCCATCTATTGTTGGAATTTGAACCACGCAATTTTAACGCGCAGTGGGTTTCCAATTTCACTTTCTTCCTGTTGAGAATCTTATCCAGTTACACTTCGTCGAAACAGTTAGAACGCATGGAATTTAAATTGCCATCATCCATATTTTATTAATCTCTGGCAATTGAATTCAATTGGGAATTCCCCAGTAATTAGGACGGATTCATCTATAGATCTCCGTAGGGAGGATATAATTTGCGTTCTATCTTGTTATCCGTAATCGAAGTGTACCTTTTCTTTAGGTTTCGGCTGATATTTTTCATATTACAATTTCCATCGACCATTATTCAATTTATCAAGAAAGAGGGGTTACCTTTGATTTTCTTTTAGGGTTTTAATTGTAGGGTTCAAGTGTTAGTTCAAAATTTTAATTTTAATTGACCAGCTTAAGTTTCGGAGACGTTTTACATACATCTCTTGTTCGACATACAAATTTGAGCGGCCATTTTCTGGAATTGGGTCACTGTGTCATGAACGAGATTTGATAGCATATTAGTTCTAACTATTTTAGCCCCTTCTGGGTTATATGCTACCACATTCCAGTAATTTGTTATTATCTTTTGGAGTACGCCACTTCCTTCTGAAGCGGTTGGCCGGTTAAGTACCGTACCTGTGAAAAACTTACTACAAGTAAAGCGAGGCCCTTCAGGCATTGGTCAATTAATTGTGTACCGCGCTCTGCAGTGTGGGAGGTTTTTTTGTTGTTTCCAGGTTTTTCGATGCGAGAAGTGAGCTCACTTCTTGGCGTCAGCATCATTTATGCAAGGTGTAAGAGTTGCTTTATATGTTTTACTTGTACGTGCGAATTTTTGCCCGTATTTTCAATTTATTTGTGAAAACTTGTCTTAATTCAGTACCTAATCAATGTAATGAATCATTATTGATTAGGGGTTTCGTTAAATAAGGGGTTTCCGTTGCAGAGTTTTGAGTATTTGGGGGAGTAATGTGTTAAGCTATCCCATTGTGGAGTATATTTTTAATTTTATAATATTTTGTCTGAATAAAGCAGTATTTCTTTTCGTACCTAAATTGATTTTTATTCTTAATACCTCGTATCTTCTCAATTTCATACGGAAAGAGTTAAGTTAATTAGGTGGCGCTCAACCATTGGTAGGTGCAACGAAGTTACAAAGATCATTTTACCCAGAATGAACTACCACTGAAAGATTCTCAAGCTCTTATTTTGTGTTCAACCCTGAGCTAGTTGCCCTCTCTACCTTCCCGTTATACGCATATTATAGTAAAAAAAACTCAACTTTATTGGAGAAACAACTTACCAAACCGTGTACAACTGCCATCTTTCACTACGACGTTGATCCAGCAGAGCAAAACGTAGGCGCTGGTACTATCTTCTTCGACATCCTTCAGCTGGGCCACTTCGATACAGTAAATCGGATCGATTTCGGTAATAACCCCAATACCCTGTGTGTCCGTGAACGTCCGCAAGAAACCGCTCTCGCTTATTTCGGTTAGAAGCATGTTCGCGCGTGCTATCGACGTGTCCGACTGTAGACAATCGCGAAGCTCCGTAACCGTAGCTCCCGATGGCAGGTTGACGCCAATTTTCACTTGCCTCGGTTGTTGTGACGTGTATAGAACCTAAAAAGATTTGAAACGTTACCAACAGTAGACTTTAATGTGAAAAGAATGGCTCTAGCAAATATTATACTCACAGTGACATAGATCGAATGGCGATGGATTTGTGGTAACTGTACAGAGATGCATTGGAAAGGATCGAACGTGTTCGATTGCGTACAACATCGAGAGCAGCTTAACGACGACCGATATTGAGCTTGAAAGACGGCCTGGATGAAGGAATTATTACATCGTATGTGATTCGCTAAGGTCTCCGCGGCTATTACTTCGTCAGAGCGGCCAGAGGTCTGGAAAATGCCAGTTTTTAATTGGGGGATGTAACGGCTAAACGATTATCTATTATTGAAGTCGCAAAAATGCGATAAGAAAAAGGCTTCATTGCGTCTCACGTTACACAATGCAACCCTTTTGAGTAATTATGATAATGCTTTCGGAAAGTTCCCACAATTCTTGTATAATAAACTATAAATGACAAAGAAAAAAACGCTAGGTATTACATAAAGTAACAATTAGCACGTTTTAGTATATTGTGACAAACAATGCAAATATATAAGCGGAGTAATGACACAATCGGCTTGAGTCACAGTTTTGAATTGGTACAATGTATTGTTTTGATCAATTTGTGGATGAGCGCGTGTCGATAGTAAAAAGCGATGGTCTTGAATATGACATTATTAATCTAAAAAAACGTGAATAAATTTACATGTAGTTTAAAAGTCTCCCTTCACAAACAACAATTGTTTACTTTTCTTATCTTTAGAAAATGTTAATATGTAAAGGTCGATTGCATTGCAGTGTATAAAAAAACGTGTCTAATATTTAAATGCAAGCGTGATAATTGAATTTAATTAGCAAAGGTGTCTAGCGCACACGCTCTTTTGTTACTAAGACTTATAATATGGGAAAAAATCAATGTGGACACAAAATGAATCAATGCTTTGGTCAGACCAAGAATTCAAAAACGTCAATTTTGCTTAGTATAATATGGATATAAAGAACCTGTGACTGGAATTCCATCACTAACTTCACCATACTAAAATACTACTGTAACCAAAAACAAAGCACCCTGTCAGGGTCCAGACCAAATGTTACCGGTCAAAACTGACCAATAGGCTCAAGAGCAGAAGATAATACAATGGCCGAGAGGACGGCTGAGTAACAGTTCTTCAAGAAGAAGACTGTGGCGCTGGCCTATGACATATAATACTGTCATAGGATTAGTTTTCAAGAAAAATCGTTCAATTTAATGTCCCAGCCTGGCACATATTCCCGTCATTTCGGGATGAGACTGCCCTCTAAAGATTCCTTGTTTCATTAGGAATCCAATGATATAAGGCAAAGTACTTGCCAGATAGGGACGAGCAATTCACATACATGGGAGGACGGCCAGTAATTGACTACCTAATAGTAAATGAAAAAAACTGAAAGACATAGAAGAATTTAAAGGCAGGAACAATCGGATCACCAACCAATAGAAATAAGTCTAAACGGGAAGATCAAGATATGGAAAGGTGCAAACACGAAGGGAGATACAGTTATGGACAAGAGACACAGTGCAGCTGTATGGAGAGAAACAAGGAACGAGAAAAAATAAGAGGGAGAACAGAGGAGGAGTAGGGAAACATGAAGGAGAGTATTAAAAAAGCAATAACGTGAGGTAAATGAAGAGGACGACGGAGAAAATAGAACGCCGTAGTCGAGGGCATAGTAGGACACAGTGTACAGAAGAGAGAAACAGATATAGAATAGTGACGGAGAAAGAAAGAAAAAAGAGAAACAGAGAACAAAAAAACACGTACTACAAGGAAAGAAGGAGAAAAAAGGGTTATAGAGGAGCTGGATGAGAGAAGGTGGAAGGAGGCGAGATATCAAGCAGCATTAAAGAGATTGAAGGGAAAACGGCAGGCAGGGACAAAATAGTAAGTGAGGCTTGGATTTTAGCCACAGATAGTAATAAGGAGAGGTCATGAAGAAACTATTAAACAAGACTACCTGAAGAGTAAAAGGAATGGGTAATAGTGCTGATTTACAAAAGAGGTGCTCAAAATCGCATGGAAAGTTATTCATAGGGGAATCACGATAATGATGACTGCGTAGCGTACAGAATATATGCAAAGATATTAAATAAAAGAGAAATAGAGGAGAAGAAGATCTTGGAGGAAACACAAATGGGATTCAGAAAAGGGAGAGAAATTATCGACTTTATATAATATGTGTGGAAATAAAGGCAGCGTACGACAGAATGGAAAGGGGTAAAGTATGGAAAAAGATGGAAGATGGAAAAATAGACAATAGCGTATTTTCTATTTTCCTATCAGGATCAAGGAATATGTATCGAGAAACAATAATGAAGGTAAAAGATAGATAGGAGGGAATGAATCTAAAGTGTTCTGGGCATGTTTAGGGACTGAGACAGAGATATTCACTTAGCCCAAGCTTATTTAATTTCTACTAGAAGAGATATGGAAAAAATATTAAGACAGTGTCAAAGTGGGAAGAAAAAAGATACGGTCATTGGTTTATGCGGATGACACAGTAATAATGGCAACAGAGGTGAAACAGATGAAGGAGATAATGGGAGGAATGGAGAGGTATTTGAAAAGAAAGGGAATATTTAAATGTCGCAAAATCAAAGGTGATGAAATTTGGGAAGGGGGGAGGAAAGAAAAGGAAGAAGTAAAATAAATAGTAATAAATAACAAACTCAAATAAGGGAACTAAGAAACTAGTATGGACGTGGTCACTTGCGACCGACAACCGAACAGAATCAGTAATAACCTCGGTAATAACTCGGGAAGCAAGTGACTAATCGAAAAATCAAAATCAAAAATAATTTTAGAATAAGACGATATCCTCGAAAATATCTTTGCCATACAATGTTGAGAGGCGTGCTTATGTAAGGAACAGAGATACATATATAGAGGTGGAAGGCATGGAATGAACTAGCAGGAATTACAAATGGGTATCGAGTTTAAACAAAAGGACACCAAATTATATATTAGAGGAGGAAACAAAAATGGAGAAGATATAGACAGTGTCTGAACGAAGGGCGGTAATATTGGAGGAAAGCAGTGAATGAGAAAGAGCATTTGTCAATAAGGACAAACACAAAAAAGGAAGTTGGGAGCAAGAAAGAAATGGATACGGATGGGATGAGGTCGAAAGGAGAAGAGAAAGAGGGGAAAGGATGGAAGATGGACTCACAAGTTATACCGATACAGCAACAGAGAGAAAATTGAGAGATCACGAGGAAACAGTAGGTACAATGGGCTGATATGAAAATAGTGAGATGCGGAAATGAAGTCACATGCAATTGGAATGTAAAGAGGCGAAAAGAGCACGGGAAAGTAGGAGTAAAGTTCTGAAGGAGGGGGAGGAGGAAAGAAAGAATGAGATGATTTGAGGAAAAGGAAAAAAACATACATTTTAGGTTTGATATTGTATTTAGTTTATTGTATGAAGTTAGAGGGAAACTAAGTATACAAGAGAAGGAATGGGAATATTACTTACTTGAGGATAAAAATCGGCAACAAATAAGTAAAAAATTTTGAAATTTTTTTTTTGACAGTGTTCAATACGGAACGCCGTTGTATCTTTTAATAACTGAACACCCGGACTAAAAAAATTAACTATAATTGACGCAATGGTACTAAAATTTATAGAAATTTACTTTGTGTTAACAACAATTGCCTAGTTGAAATTAATAATTGCATATCTTCCAATAACAACTCGCAATAATTTCCCCTTTTACAATTTCAAATAACGGTTTTTGTGCGAAATTTCAAACACTGTTATTGAAATGGCATATTTAACAATTTCAAATCGGCAGTCTTATTCATATATCACGATTTAGAAATAACGTGTTGAAAATTTTAATGTTCAAAAATTATCGATTTGATATTATTAAATAATCTTTAATATCACCTTCACGCTTTGTAATAAATTTCAATTTCAAGTTGAAATAAAAAATTCAATTCTCTATTTCAAACTCGTAACTTTGGAACGCACAATTTAATTTTTAATATCAACTCTGTGATATTGCTAATTCGATTTACTTCTATGTCATGACATATAAAAAATTGTGGCGCCATCTATCGAGTGATGTCAAAAGTGAGGAGCGAACCTCAACCCAACTAATCACGTTTGATGTCTCGTTTGATGTAATTACCGCGAAAATCTACTTTCAAGTGCTTATTTTATTACCCATATCGTTCATAAATACATTGTGCGAATAATATTGTCAAAAAAAATGTACAATTACGCGAAATGGATATTTTAAATTCTGTTCCGATTATTAAACTTACTGTCGCTAGAGGGCAGGTCAATTTGCTATATGTGATTTAAAAATATCGCCTTGATATTTTTAATTCATTTACCAATATGTGCGACTTGATATTTTTAATTCTATTGCACAAATTAGGTACTAATTTCTACTTGAAATTTTTAAATACTTTGCATTGTACACGATATGAAACTTAGAAATATAATTCGTGAATTGTATATTTCAATAGGATATTAAAATTATAATTATAAAAACTATAACAACCTTTGTGTTAATTACAATTGTCAATATGGAAACTACTTCTTCCATTGTCGCAAAAATTTCAATCCCGTCTAACGTTTTATTTGAAACTGCATACCTATTAATTGATTTTAATGAAAATTTCAGGCACGTTTTAAAATGTTCAGAATGCAAAATTATAACTTCTGTTACGGAAAAATCGGTTGATGAGTTTTAAAAACATATTTTCGTTATTGAAAATTAAGAAATGAAATAGAAAATTATTCTATGGTTGAAAATAGCTTTTATTTTTAAATATCAGATAAACATTTTTGATATCAAAAACAGTTTGTTATGAATACTGAGAGTTTGAACATTCAGCAATGAATTCTTCATTGTGGAAATTAATAGGGATGGATATTACTTGAAACAAGAAATTGAAAATTATCGTTATGTTGTGGATTGAACATCCAACCAAAGGAATCAATGAAATTTATTAATATTTTAACTCTAAATAATAATAGTTTTGAAATAAAAAATTGTTTTAAAATACAAAGTCGATATCATGAAATGCGTTTGAATTAACAAACTTAACACCATAATTGAAGAATTACAATTATAAATTTCAAATAGCGAACTTCGCAAAGTATTTAAAAATTCCAAGTAGAAATTAGTAATTTGTGCAATAGAATTAAAAATATCAAGTCGCACATATTGGTAAATGAATTAAAATTATCAAGGCGATATTTTTAAATCACATATAGTAAAGTCACTAAATATAGAAAG